ATTGAAGACCTTCAAGCCGAGTTATAAAGTTTCGGCACTTCCGATGCGACATTGCGTCTTTTATAGCAAATTAGCGGAGCGGCAGTGATGGTACTGTATCTTATCTGCTAGTGGACGTTATAGGCAAAATACGGTAACGTAGAGCAACAGATAGCCACACTTTTGGTATAGTAAAGCTTCCTAACCAGTATTTGAAAAACAAAAATTTGTTGTTTGATTTCTGATTGTGTTGACATGCCCATTTTTCAAATCATTTAATTAGTTTTTATATCATATTGAACATGTCTTCAAACTATTCGACTACATTTCTTGGCTGGCTGTGATCTACTATACGAATCAGTTGACTTCATAAGAGATGGGAAATGGAAGCAGTTAGCAAGATGAAGCTTCTTATTATAAGGGCCAATTTTAAAAAAGAAAAACTTCAAACTTCGAATTGGTGTACTGGATAGAATCCAATCTAAATGTTTAGTGTTCCTTGTGCTATCGATTTAGAAACAACTCAAATGCAATTAGTAATCTCTTGACACAAAAAAGGTGCAATTAACAAAATTTTCCTGAAAGCTTAATAAAATTCAAATGACTTACCGACGTCACTGCAACTAAGCGCCGTCAGGTACTTTGCGGCTGTATTCCGCTGAGAGGCAAAAACGATAATATTCAAGAAGTTTAACAACACTCCAACTATAGCAAGTACTGGCAATATGCCAATGACCAGTATCTGAAAATTATAAAGAAGCAGAGTTTTATTTAAATTATTGATTCTATTAATATTTATTAATTTTACCAAATTCACAATTCCTGCGACACCATCGGTCGGTTCATGCAAACATTCACATTCGCGCATTCCACATTCACTAAAACTATATAAACGATTACGTTTAGTTTGGGTTAAGATAGTTTAATTCACGGACGCAATTGTTCTTGACGCGAAAAAGAAATAGATAAGTTCAAAACCATACATTTAAATGTAGATACATACAAATGCGAGAGTATAGAGGAAGGAAAAAGAAGTTGAAAGTCAAAAGCTAAAAGAACAACACAAGCAAAATAAGTCAGACCCAATCAGTATCTATTCAAACCCGTAACATATAGGGAGTTTTGCATTATGTCTATTTTCACATTCACAGTAAATGTCC